TCTCAATTATGCTCATAATTAGTAAGTATAGTTAGAAATTATACTGCTTGCTTGCCATCCAAGCTTTTAATATATGCACATGCAAATCCATCATCTAACACCTTAGTTTGTGTTTTACAATTATAATATATAGTTGTTCAAGAATCACTACATATGAAGTAATATCTTAAATTAAAAAAATTTGTTGAATAGTTACATCTCTAATTTTCACCTTTATATTAGAACAAGCACCTTAGAGGTCTCTCTGTAAATTATTTGCTATCCAAATCATTCAACCATATTTAATGTCAATAGACTACCTTCTGCATTTGTAAATTTCTTTTGATATAATATTAATTTCACATCTATGGTCAAAAAGAACAATTATTGGATCTATCAAGTCCTCCATCTTCACCAAAGTCTTTGTTGTGGCTTTGGCCTAATGACCTCTAGTGTAGTGATCAAGGCTAAGAGCTGAAATAAATCTTCATTAGTTGGAAGTTTATTCTAATTTACAAGGAGTGAGTTAATCTTATGAATTTTACTAGTTATAGCTATTAATTAAATTTTAATCAAATCACTCTTTATTCTACTTATTCAATCTAAGTAATTAAGCCAAAATCCTACAACTAATTTATCTTTATCATATTAAATCATCCAACAATTTAATTCCATAATTATTATTAATTATTATTAATTTTTTCTTAATTTTATATTTATATTTATATTTATTTTATTTTTAATATATATAATTATTTTATATTATTATTATTATTATTATTTTATTTAAGTCAAAATTTATCTATTAATAAGAAATCATCCTTAAATAATAATTCATCCACATATTTCATTTAGGTTTAAGAATTCATCTTAAAATAATTTTATCCAATTTAATTATTCATCTAATTAACCTTATTAAACCTAATCTTAATTTATCTACTATTACTAGAATTGATTTGGCAATAATTCATCAACCTAATTAATCTTTTTTGAATTCTTATGGAGAAGATTAAAGATGTGGCCATCAATTGGTTTTGAAGCAAGCTTCTCTACCTAGTAGCACTACCTTCGTCTACCTTTACAGAAGTGATTCTAGCTCAAAGATTACCGAGCCTCAATATGACAAGCTTACTCCTCTACCATTGTACTTCCACAGCTTAGAGTCACCACTAGTAAAGGATGTTGCTTGAATTACTAATATGCTTTCTTAAATAATGCTAAAATATTTAGAGTAACTCAAAGCCTCCATCCATCATAATTAGTTGTGACAAAATTTCAATCCAGCACCACCATTATACTACTTGATGAATCCTAAGTGACCTCCATTCTTGGTAAATTTTTTTCAATCACACAAATTTTTAAGGCTTCTACGATTCATATCTATAGCCGCAAATCTATTGTAAGATCAAATTGCTTTCCATGCAACTGCTTTCCATATTTTGACTTAACAACCAATATTAATAGTATGACCTTGGAGTTCATCTTCCACTATCATCTTTAACCATTGTTGCTGATACAAGCTTATTACTTCTTTAGCATATATTAATTTCCTTGTAAAAATTAATGAAATACTACTACATAGGTAGTTGACTACTTATGGCCATAATCATGGCTGATAGAAGAAAATCAACTCCTCCTTGATGACCTTGCTACAAAATAGTGGCAGTTGACAATTAGAAGAAAGTCTAAACTATACAACCTCTACTTCGACATTGAGATGCAACAACAAGTGACATATATGTACTTTCTTCCTAAACACCAAATCAGCTAGTCTAGAGTCTCTTCTTTATCATAAGATCATTGCAATTATACGTAACTTCAACATATCTTTAATGGCATTTAAAAACAATCCTATATCTTCTTGATGTGTTCCAAAAGAGGAACTTGGTTGTGAATATCCATGGCTAGCTAACATAAATTATAACATCCATCGAACAAACTGCATTGCTTTGATTTATGTATTCAGTTGGAAAGTTGGTTACTATTAAGGCTTGACCATATTGAGAACTTGTAGTTAATAGATCCTTCAATATCCTTGCCTTTGATGCCACAAAATCAACTAATTAATCAAAGTGTGCCATTAGTCAACTATGGTACCTTTGCCACGTCCTTGTTTAGTAGCAAAATTTATAGCCATATTGAATTAAGAAGTAACAAGAAAAAATAGATTAGGATTAATATCCCTTGCTATAGCCACACAATCTTAGCTCTTCATTGTAGCACTACTATTGATACCAAAGAAGAGAATGCAACTAGATCTAGCACTAGAATGCATTGTGGCACCTTACAAAGATATCTAATACTGAATTTAATAATAATAATAATATGTAATTGCCAGCACTGTTGGATAGCATTTACTAAGAAGTATAATTGTCATACCTTCTATTTGCCTAGAATAACCATTATAGAAAATAAAAACATCTATTTATTGATACTATCAAATTTTATTAATACCACCTTTAGTATCAATGAGCGCTTTAGTACTTATAAATTCTAATATTGTGCCTTGACTCACCGAGCGACCAATAGAAAAAATGGAAAGAATTTTTTCATAGTAATATCCAACAAGGGAGCACAATCCGTACTTCTGGATACAATTATTGGATAAAAATAGTAGCTACACTTTATAGGTATAAATACAAAAAAACATAAGATCCATTCCAGAGTATTACTTGATGAAGGAATATAAAGAGATAGAATTAGGAATAAGAAAGTAAAGAAATATTACACCACAATACTTTCTATCAAGAAGCACTTACAATGTTTTATGACCTTGATGTCATATTATAATTCAACTATATGGTGAAAATATAATCAAAAATGAATTTCTAATTCATATGTGATTATCTTAGTTCCATAGTAATTCAAGATATTTAAACATGGCTTTTATAAAAGCCTCATAGTTTATTTTCTTATCTTAATAGTTAGTAGGTTAAAAGTTAGCTAGTAATTTTACCTTCTAGGATGTAAAGACTTTTTTATTACCTTAGAAAGACCATAAATTGATAAAATCAGGTTAGAAGAGGTAAATAATTAGCATGATTGATACTAGGATTAAGTTGAAAATAGAGTTGGACTAAAATATCCCTAAGATAGGTTAGATTGATATCTAAGGGTTGACTGTTTGTGAGACATGGTTGAAATCAGACCTCCAACAATTAAAATGACCACCTCAAACAAAATATGAGGGCATTCAAAGATTGGCAATTAAGGTTGGAGAGCTAGCTTGGAACTTGTTCCATAGACATATTGAAAGTTGGCACTTTGGGATTAGGTAAGATTTCTATGATATCTGAAGATCTATCAATTGGATCAATGTGAAACTTGACATGATATTAGAAGTCTTAAAGATCAAGCTACATACCAATTTTGAGTTGAAGTTTACAATTAGAGAAGGAGAAATCACTACTGGAACATTTGCATCAACTTTCAAGTTTGTGGCTAAGTAAAATCAATGTGGTTTTTGGGCATTTTTTCATGATTTGTAAGTTGGATTGAAATAAATTCTTTTGAATACATAGAAGACTTATAGTGGCATTTGTATGCAAAAATTTTCTCTAAGTGGATGTTTAGATTAAGAACTATAGCTTACTAAATCTTGTTGATTAAGATTAGGGCTTGCAAAGAAAAATCAAAATTGCCTAACTATGAAAGTAATAAGACAATTGGAGTTTATGTATGATTGAAATTACTAAGAAGAGTGTTTTTGAGCACTTTTGAATTAAAATTCAAATTGCATTCTTCTTATAAGGATAAAACTTATTAGAATTTTTAGATACTTGTAAAATACAACCTTATCTTCTATAGCTAGATCTTGGTACATTCTCAAACAGGACGACACACGATACAACATAAGTGGTGAATCCAATGTAAAAGTTTGAGGTAGAAGGTATTAGATTGAATTTATAGTTATTTAAAATTAATGGCACAAGAAAGCAAGAAGATTGAATGTAGAATTTTTGATGGAGTTTTGGGTGGAGCTTCAAGTGGATTTTCTATTGGTGAACAAAATATATATTGTGATCCAAATACTACAAAAAATTTCAAGTATTTACATTATTTATACAACAGTAACAAGGCAATGATCACAAAGAAGCTTTGGCAATTAAAACATTGCAAGTGGTGGTTAACAAGATTGACCAATTTGATGGGAGGGATATTTCCAAATATTTAAGATGTTATGTGTAAAAAATAGAATTGAATCATGTTTTTGAAGAGAAGATGATTCTTTTATTTGAACTTGCTATGGTATTAGAGATAAAGGAGCATATAAGGTCTATTAAGGGGCAGTTTAGAAGTTCATGGGAGGTGTTTTTAAATGCATTGAAGGATAAGTATTTTTTGGAAGATACTAATTGAATTACTAAGAAATCATTCTTGAAATGGATTAAATGACCTAACAAGACTTTGCAAGCTATAGAATTGTTAAAAAAATATAAAAGGTAATTTTTAAAACTTTTGTTCTTATCTACTTCAAATTTGTTTTCTACCACATTATGATATAAAACAACCTTTGAAAGTAAATTTTGATAAAAACATATGACTTTCTGGCTCACCATTTATACCTTCGTGTAACATTCTCAAAACAATATACTCCACCTTTTTCTTGTCTACAAAGAAAACTTTATTTTTCAGCAATTTATTGTGGCACTTTATATTGATATCTCAATCTTTCTGATAAATTATTTTTAAAATTTCACCCACCCATTCTCTAATGCCCGAGTTGTCTGCATGTATCTAGGTCCCATCACTCTTTTGTAGACACCCCGCAATGGAACCCTGCTGACAACACAGTGGAAAATGCCTCTCTATCTTGGTGACGCGATCTCTGCAGCATTCTTCTATAAAAATCGGTGACAATTGGCCGCATCCTGAAACCCATACCGATAAAAATAAAAAAATAAAAATAAAAATAAAAATCTTGTGCGCCTCGGGTTTCAGTCCTAGACTGACTCGGGTTTATCGTTTTCTGTGCAGCAGATGAAGAGAAAAGGTGAGTTGTCGGCATTAAACTGCGCCACCAATGCAGTTTGTGATTAGAACGACGTGAGGCGTCGGTGTAAACGCACGCCAGCGAAGCAGTTTGCATGGAGCGGAACGTGGGAAATACATGATACTTGTTATTTAGATGTTGGCAAATGGCAGACTGTACACAAAGCAGCTTCGTTTTACAAATTTCTTCGCTCTTCTCTCTTGTTACAAACCCCTTCTTGGCTCAACTCCATTTCATTCAGATCATCAAGGTATGTTGTTCGGCAAATGGTGTCTTTCAAAAGTGGTTTCATTACTTGTGTATTTGCTTTGTTTGTGTAGTATTGGTCACAACTTATGGTTCGGATGAGGAAGGTGATAGTGAAGTAGGGCATGTGGATCAACTGGTCGATCCCACTGATTGTAAATCTGGTCATTTCAATTCTTTTTCGAGTTTGCTCTTCTAGCCGGAAGGATAAGCGCGGGTTGTACATGCGACTATGTTTCGTTGTTGACGATGCATCTGACATGAAACTGCCAGTGGGTATAGCTGAATCCTCACATGTTCAAGGGTAATATTGTTGTTCAGAGTTGGAATTCCAGAGACTCGAAATTTTCAGAAGTTAGGTTTACGAAGAGTTCACGTTACAATCAAGATGTCTGGAGCGCAAGGTGCGAATCCCCCAGGGAGTTTCACCGACACAACTTACAGCAGCGGGCCAGTCGCAGAAACACATGCCACACAGCACAAGAACGATTCCACTGACGACGACAAGGGCATCCCCAATCAGTTTGCTGTAGACAGTGCTCCCAAGCCCAATGCGGCCGCTGGTCTCGGCGGTCCCGTCTTCGGTGGGAACGAGGGTGCTGACAAGGGTGTGACTGGCACCGGCACTGGCGAGTAAATACCGATGGGCTTGTTTGCGAGGGGTGGTGTACATATCTGGTAACAAATCGGAATCTAGGTGCAACATAGTTGTCAGTGCTCGGCATGGCGAGTTCGGTGTGCTTTTTATGCTGCGGCGTAGAGCAGCTCCTGTGTGTATATTGTAGTTAAAATCCTGCTCTTGAAGTTCAGCAGGAGGAAAATATGTACACTTCTTAAGTTTTCACTGAAAGTTAAAAACCTTTCTGACCACCCATTTCTGCTTGGAGCATAGTTCTATGCCACAAAGGACATGCTGGACATGTAAGAGTGACCAGGAAAGGGAGATAATTTTCCATGTATCGAATTGTGCTGCCGTTACATTTGCGACGATATATTCCACGCCTTAACAGTGAGTACTGTCACTGTCAGACTTTCTCCTTGATAATGATCCTTGCAACAGTTTGCCAATGGATCGGCACGGCCTTTACTCTTGTGCAACGATCTCACGGTGAAGAAATGGGGCTACATCTCGACACGCTTCCAAAGTGTGAAGAGTACAAACCACAATCTTGAAACTTCGATTCCACGCGTCTTCACCATTCATCTTACAGAAGATGTGAAGAAACAGATCTAAATCCGGAACCTAGACAGAGATTTCCTCAATACCGGAGTTGGGCATGAGAAGGGTTGCGTAGGAGGAGACGCTAAAGGCTGCTCAAGTCGCTGCTTCTAAGGCAATGAATTCGAGATATGCACACAAACCTTTCCGATGCGAATGGTTTTCCATGCTGTTTCTTGTATATCCGAGTGATTGATTCCAACATAGCTCGCAAGATCTATTGCATTAAAACAAGCATGATGCTCGCTTTTAAGTGTGAAAGTATTTTTGTCTAGGGTTTTCCACATATTTCATTCGTGGGTTTCTAATCTAAGGGGGATTATCCCATTTCGCAAAACAGGCACCAAGCTCAAACTCTGACCTTTTTACGTTCTGTTTGTGGTGCATGTGTGTCTATACACACAATTGTTGGGTAGCTGGCTCAGATTTTGTAACCAGCTGACTTACTAGGATCCAATTGTTGGGAGTTCTTCATAAAGACGCTACATATCTCGGAGGGGTTTTTACAATGAGGTGAGTATAAACATTTGTGCACACATACTCACCTCATTGTAAACCTCTTAAGTGTGAATCATCTTAACCATGCAATCTGCTTGAAATGCCTCCGTCTTCTCCGTTAAAGTCAACGACAATCCATCAAAGAACACCAAATTGGGAATAAAAGCATTAGATTCCTTTGTAAAAAATTCAATTTGCATGTTCCAGCCAAAAGTCCCATCTATCAAAAAGTCATGAAGAAACAGCACTGCGGGCTTCTCTGAGGCGCCCGCGGACCACACTTCACTCTTGGGTTGCTCTCACGACACCTAGCAGCAAACCAAGGTGGTGCTAGTGTCTACTTTTACAAACTAGGATTTTAGTCCACAAGCCTAATATTAGTGCTTCAATTGGCTTGTCTATAATCTGCAAACCAAAGCTTGATGCCCTCTCCATCTCAAAAAACCCCGTCCACATCTCATTGCCTAATATCCCATGCCAAAATTATCCACACTTCATATTCAAAATCACTAATGCAAGTTTTAGATTCAAAACTTTCATGTAGAGTGGTCTTGTCCAAGCTCTATCATACCTGTGAAATCAAAATTTGCAAATATCTTGATTTCAACATAGTTTTTGGTTGTATAAATTTGTAGTGAAACTTCAAGCAAAGTAATATAAGCCTTTTTAAGAGGCTTATGATACACAACAATTGTACAATGGTGGAGTCAATTAAAAACACAGTGCTTAGTTGGCAAGATTGATTAGAACATAGTTGGGTTAGTGCAGAAAAACATGGTCAATGTAATGGTGTTCAAATATAGTTTTTGATGAATTGTAAAGGTAATGTTGAAGCTAGTATTGTTATTTAAAGTTCAAGGTGATGTGACAATCATGGATCTCCAAATATTGTACAACTTGTCAATATAGTATGGACTACATATTTCAATCCAAAGCTCACTCTCATATTCCATATTCTTAAATTCATATCAAACATTTGAATTACTACCAATGACAATGATTTTTATGTCATGGAGGACAATTGCTACAAAGTGATATAGCCAAGAAGTTGAGTAAAAGATTATAGAACACATGCATGAGAACCAACTCCTCTGTTAATTTCCAACCCACATTTCTCCATCTAGCACCATTAATAATGAGAATCTCTCCTTCTAGTGTATAAACTAAATTATGTTTGCAATATTCATTGAAGTTGCAAGTTTGAAAAAAAAAACAATTTTGATTTAGAATTTCTTTTTTATATTTATGATGTATTTTAAGATATATTTAGTTATGTAAAAAATTTAAAGAAATCCATAGTTTAAAATGTGCTAAGTAATTTGATAGGTATTAAATTTCTATTATTAAAGCTGACATACTAAATAAGTAATAATTGTAAAAAGTTAAAAATCAAGACCTATAAGATTTACATAATAAGAAAAGAAAATAAAATTTAACCACTTTCAACTGAGATCTCTACATTTCTCCCTGTATAATGAAAAAGTTGTAGTTATTTACAACTGAAACATTTGAGTTTTTCAAATCTGAAAAAAGATATAATGGATAACAAAATTATCGCCAGTGTGTGACACTCCTTCTCTTGAAATTAGATGAATATTTTGGAGTGAAACTCACAAACAAATTACAGAAACATTGCACTAAACAAGACCATTTGATAAAACTAAAGAGTACACACACAAACAATCTTTCATTTTGCAATAGGAGAAGTTCAGCAATACTTGAAAATCACTGATTTCCAAATCCAAGCTACGTTACTCAAAACCGCCTTGCCCCCAGATTACAAATTTATCACAACATCCTCGTGTACATGTTTCCCCTAAATTGCAACATGCTCCAATACATCATAACAGATGAATAGTAGAAGAGCATGAGCAGAGTGAAAAGAAAACTGTTGCAGTAATAATACAAAAAAGAATAGAGGAAAATAGATCCTCTTTCGTTGCTTGAAGATTCACAGCCAAGAGCCGTAGCAAAAACCTAAACGTCGTGTCTGGACTAACGACTGTGGAAAAAACACCGATGCGCTTCGGTCAGCGGTGGCTGCGCGCATCGATTTGCGGTGTTTTGCGTCGTGTCGTGGTCGGAAAGGATATATAGAAACAATACTTGGATTACCTTCCAATCTGCTGGGTACACACGGCATTTCATGGGGCGCATGAGCCGGCATCTCTCAAATCTCTACACTCTGCACAAGAAGAAAACCTCAGACCATTTGCAAATGTTGAGAGTAGAAGTGCAGAGTAGTATGCAACAAACGTCACAAGTGACGGGTTAAGAGATTTTTGAAGACCTGGGAAGACAGTCACGGCACCTGCAAGCGCAGCGTAAACTTAGCCCACCCAAGGGCCTTGAACACACAGCAGAACCAGGAATCCGCACAGGGCGATGGTTGCTCGAAGTACAGGATTCGCTGTTGCCGCAGCCCTACGCTCCAAAACATCCAGCCATGGCGCAAGCATCGCCCAACTCATGTATCTACCGGGCCAGGTCACAGCTAGCGCCACAAGGATCGGACCACTCAAAATCGCCATAGCTGCTTCAAGCTTCCGAATCTGAACCAGCCTCTCGTCCCCGCAATCCCAACTCGGTCCTCAAAAGCTAACTGTAAATCTGTGAAATTCGCAACAAACGACGAACTCTAAGACACTCAGACAGACATTCTTCTCAAGCATCGCATCCTCTTGAAAGAAACCATAGTGCGGCTCCTGTGCATCCAAATCACTTCGCAAATGGAAACCGGACCAAAGTTCCGCTGCATCTCGCACACAATATATTCCCAGCTAGAATTTTCGCGCGAGTGAAGAGAGTTCAGACTGTCAAATGAACAGTACCGCAGGGAAGGGTAAAGTACACGATGAGATGTTGAACGAGCAAGCTGGCCTGCCTGGAGGTGCTTCCGGGGCACGGATTTGGACGCTCCCTCAAGCTGCAAATTGGACCACAGGCTGTAAAAGAGGAGCACATAGGATTTCTTATAGTTGATGCTCAGGAGACGGAGCGCCAAAGTCGAAAAAATTGATTTTGTAGGTGAGTCCACATCTCGGTGGTCGTGCAATAACCTAGAGTTTGCCAGATTCCCGCGGTCGGGCAGTTCAGTTCTACACCGAAGCTCGGACATTTTGAAACTGTGACGAGAGGTATCTTCCACCAAGACCCAACAGATTATCATGTCTATAATTAGATTGTCGTTTCCAAAAGCGCGACATCTCAAAGTTTGCGTGGCTCCCTGAGTTCCAAAATCACCTTCACGGTAGCGGACATTGTATTCCCGGAATCATACTCCACCCTCTATTGTTACCCCGGCGTAAAGGGATGTCAGAGGACGAGCCAATCGACGATTGGGATTGCCAGTGCTCGATTGCGAAGCTGACAATAAAGCACGGAACATCCCAGAGCACCGATCTACGCCAGAACACGAATCCTTTGGGGAAGAATTGAAAGCCAGGATTGAAAGCAAAATCCTTGCCCTAATTTCTAGCGTTGGGGGTTTTTACAATTCCACTGTTCCAGCAAGAGCAAATTAAAAGAAGAGAAAACACAGACACAAACTGCGCTAATTTTCTAACTTACTGCACAGTTCTTGTGTGTGAGTAGAGACGAGCTGCCAATTTCTTTCTGCATTCTTATTGACTGCATACCAATGTTCTCTTAACGAGGTTGCTTTTTTGTAAAGACGATGTGGGTGACTTCTTCACCCATTAGGCCCCTTTTGGACTGAGTCAAGCTGGAAGTGCTTGGCATAGTTTGGTATTTGTAAACTCCAGTGTTGAAATTTCTTCGAAGAGTGGGTTGAATAATAGGGTTAGAGGCAATGGAGTTCTATGGCTTCTTGTAATATATTCCTACCTAGATGTCTCTGCTAATCTTTCTTCATAGAAACACCAGTTTTTAGCAGATTTTCTGTATTTGGGTTTAAACTTTATTTTTCTCTTCATTGACTTTCATTCCAAGTGAATAATTCGACAACTACAACAAGAAAGAGCCTTAAACCAAATTATGCTAGGTTTGTAGTAAGAAGTCTTCTCTCAATAAAAAAAACAGGCTTCAATAAGGAAAGGTCTTTTTAAAAATAAAAATAAAAATCTTTACCAAGGTTTTTGTCAAAAATTAACTTTGTTTTGTGTGTTCTTGTATATACAAAATTAACACAATTTTTGCAATTTTGTTCTTAACATTTGAGTTTTAAAAATCCAAGACTATGCACTCATGATATTGTTTTTTCTAATAAGGATAATTTACAGCTATATATATATATATATATATATATAGCTATTACATACAAAGTCAAGTTTTTTTTTTGGTGTAATATTTTTTTTGATGTAATATATATATATATTGGAGTTTAATTTTATTTTGATTTTATATTTCTTTCTTTCTGACAACTATTTGTGTAACCAACATAATTAAACAAGTAAGGAAAACGAAATATTTTTTAATTCAAACTTAAACCAACTCTTTCTAGCATATTATCTTATATTTTTTAATATATTTTGAAGAAATAATACAACAATTTAATTAGAGGAAGTACAATGTATTAATGCCTTACTTGACAAATGTGGGCCATAAACCTTTTGATTCTACAACCTGTTAATGTCTGTGTATATACATGTACATACATATGTTTTCACATTTTAATCAAGTCAACTGAATGAAAGTCTTGCAACACAAAGCAATCTTGTAAGGAACGGAAATTGCTTTGATTAATACAGAATAGTGTACCTGGTACAGAAAAGACTTGACGTAGTTCAACAATACTATTCATTATAGTATTACACAAAGGAAAGATGATGTCTCTTGCTTAGACTTTGACCTTACTTACCAAAAAGACTTGTGCTTCACAACATCGCAACGCTGTCCTCCCCCCACAAGCTTTAGTTATGCCCAACCTTACGTATCAGCAACTGGGTCTACCTCAATCTATGTCCTCACAAGAGCAAAATCATCGCCACATAACGCATTAAAAAAATAGTGTGGGACCACAATGAATGGTGTTCGTGATTGTGGCTGAATGAGAGGATCACATTGACAGTAAATTAATGAGTTTGGCACTGACTGGACTCAGATTGTGCTGTAAGTTTTTTTTTTTTTTTTTTTTTTTTTTTTTCTCTTAATTTTCTAGATGGAAATATGATAATTTTCCGTTAGGGCTACAGGTATTATTGTGGACAGACATTCTTATTGAGTCCTCATTGGATTCTTTACTCTTTTGATGTCTCGCAGGGAAGGAATCGAGATGCAATTAAAAGTGAAACGCAACGAAGTGATTGCACAGTGAATTGTGTGTTCGCTTTCCGCACAAGGAGGTTCGACTCATGGGGCGGAGCTGGGTTGTGAAACGTGAACGAATCTGGGGCATTGAAGAAGAAGGAGAAGAAGAAGTGAAGAAAGAGTGAGTCCACAGTTTATTGGACAATGATATGCAAAGAAACTCGAATGTAACTCCCAGATGATGCCTCCGCAAGGGCAGCGGCCCCCATTACTTGATCAGACATTCGTCCAAATTCCTACATCTCGTTGCAACATCTGTGACAAATTATCTCGGACAGGAACGGCTCCAATGTGGAGTTTCCATGTCGGTTGTCTACTATTCACCACTACGTACCACACGCACGCTGTAGTCTACATCGTCTGATGCATCCTGAACATACCAAAATGGAAACGGCGATGGGTGAATCAGCAGCGGTTTCCGGACAGCAACCTAAGAACGCCGTCGGAATTTGCAGCTACCAATGTACAGTCGTCCGGCTTCGCTCTCCAACAGACCGCGCTTACGATGAGGCTATTTGACGAGTCATCTTCAGAAAATTCCGAATTCCCCTTCGAAACCAGTCGGTCGGCACTCCAGGAGCTCCCAATAGTGTTCAGGCGCAACACAGCCGGATTGTAATAATCAAAGCTGTGTGATAAGATGGGACTACACTTCTGGCTATCGTACACGAAAGCTTGATTGGTTTCCGAGCCACAGGCGATGAGCCCGTCTTCGCCTCTGACAGACAACCCCGTGAAGTTCCGCACATTATAGTGGCTGTCAAACGACTTGACGGGCGCATTACAACGTTGGGAAGCGACGGGAGCAGTTCTGCAGGATGAGCAGCTCATGGATTGCACGTCCCAGAGCTTCACAGAGCTGTCGATGGAGGAAGACACCAACCTGTGGCTATCCAAGAATCTAACGTAGCTAGTTGCGCGCTTGTGGTGAGCCAGTGTTAGAAGCGGGGTTGACAGCCACCGGGTGTCGTAGAGATACACATTGCTGTCTGCGGAAGCCAGGGCAATGAGCGAGGACGATGCCGGACCGAATTCGGCGCAGCAGATAGGGCTGAAGGTTGAATGGAAAATAATTGCCACACTCTGTTCTGAGCTTTGGTCCCACATGCGAACCGTTCCGTCATCGGAAGCAGAGGCGATGAGGTCGGGAAAATCCTTGCTGTAGTCTATGCTCCATATTCTCTGGCCGCCGTTCTCATCCCTCTCACAAATGGCGCACATTCTTTCCACGTCCCACTCGGCAACAACACCGTCATAATCGCCGCAAGCGATGACATTAGGCCTTTCCTGATGCCATTGCAAGCTGCTCAGCTTCGCAGGAGTACAAACCTCCTGAACACAGCACCGCGCATGGTCGATGTCAATTGCCGAAGCTCGCCATTTTCGAAGCCGTCGCTGCTTCAAATACTCCACAGATTCCTCTTCGTCATCGTCTTCATCTTCATCAGCTGAACTGAGCCCTGACACAAGTGGTGAATAAGCATAGACACGAATTTTCCGGGCGATTCCACCAGTCGCGAAGTACTCATGTGTTTTCTCAAATGCAATAGTGCCTATGATATCCGTGGATGTTAAATTCTGATTTTGGGTTTTGATCGATGCGACGACTTTGAACTCCCACGAACTTCCACGGGCCTCCCCATGATGCACTTCACTCGGCACGTCATCCGGTTCCTCCTTATTGCAGCCACAATTCAATGGAAACATGGACGCGTCAGGATTTGAAGCACTCGACATGACTGCATCGTTGCCTTCATCATGTAAAGGTATGTATCTACTGATATCCTTTGCAGATTGTGCTTCGTGAGAAAGTTCGGAGGAAGACCGTGTTATCCTTAACTCTTCATGAGGCAAATTCGGCAATGAAGCCGGCCTAGTGAGGAGACCCTCCTCGTGTTTGATGTCCCCGTACAGAGGACTGGTCCCGGGAAGCATAAGAGACTTGGATTCCTTCCCCTGCTCGGTGGTACCTTCTGAATCTTTGCTGCCTTCCGGAGGACATATATGTGTCAGCTCATTATCTACAACTTCAGATACAGAACTCTGCTGCGCCGTCTTCTTATAATCATGTAAATCCTGGATGTTGAGACCCGGAACCTTCACTTCGATATCGTGAACAGAAGAAGTTAATCCCACCGACTTCTCTTCCAATTCAATTTTCCGACGCTTGTGTCGGTTCACCGAAGAGCTAACTCCAAGTCGAGTTCTCTTAAAGGAAAAGCGACACTGATTATTTAGGCTTGACCTGAAGGAGTCGTACAGGGGTAGTCGAGGAGTACCCAGGAATGAAGATGTTGCGCTGACCACATCATCTCCTGACGATGAGTTCGTGAAGAAATGATCTCCTGAAGCCTGGACGTAACAGGAAACTAACTAAGGTTTAGCCACTACCCACAAAATTACAAAATCACAAAAACAACCTTCAAAATTCTCTTATAGGTTCTCACAAGAAAGACAAGGTTTGCTTCCGTGTGACTCCGAGAGCTGTTGACTTCAACTAGACGGACGATTACTCTCCTGCTTAGAGAAAGGGCTTGCTAAACAACCTGGAGGTTGAATATGCTATTGCAAGAATTGTTACATATCTCTTGATACTCTGAGTAGATTGCAAAGGATTCAACGAACTTGGATTGTAGAAATAGTTACATCACTGCGAGGTAAGAGACGGAAGATATGTCATACACTAGGAAGAGGATAGAACTTTCTATACCACGATTTGAACTGCAATCTCTCCCCGACAACTTCCTCCCAAGCACGATACTGATGTCCCACATCTTGAATTGGACTCAACCGCCACCTTCTGACCTTCCCCGATGATGGCGATCATGAGTAGCACACAAGTAAGCACGAATTCGACGATGCAGAATTCAACTCCCTTCTTGGCTCACATCCAGAATGAGGTATTCTACCCAATCCCAGCCTTTAGCTCCTACTGAATCATCACAATGCTCATTGAAAACCCGTCTTATTGCTCCACGGAATTCGCAAAACCCGAGAGAGCGCAGTTGTCCGACTGATTGTGAGCAATTACTGAGCGCATTAGCTCAATTCGGTAGAGTATCTGTTCTCCCCTGTGTCAGAGACGACCACGACCGCCCCCCGCGCGCCTCACCGACGCCGGCAACGCCCCCTGATGACAACTGAGCGACAACTTGGGAGGATGCAAACAGTGGAGTCTGGGAGAAACACATCAGTAAACATTTACACTCGAGTTGAGTGCGAGTCCCTGCTGCCCCCACTATCAATCAGACTCAAGCAACGCGCACTCAATCTAGCCATTCCTTCACCACTCTCCCCGCGAATGATCGCTCCAACCGCTCCACCAGCCTCCAATCCTCGGTCACTCACCGCAGATTACCACATTCAATCACCTCCTGCTACTACTAATTTTTTCCTCGTCACTGGCTCTCCGCCACGACATCCTAAGATTGAATTGACCGTTTGTGGGCGTCACCCTATCCCAGACAGTCAGGCTAAGACTGCTTGTTGATGATTGATTGGGGAGTTTAGCAATGACGGGAGCCAGAGATATCGTGGGGGAGAGGCGGACGAGCAATTTATGGAGTCTGACCGAGAGACGGAAGGCGAGAGACTGGGAAGGAGAAGGCCACGACACAGGCAACACGGTGGCCGCTTGCAAGCCTAGCACTCAGCCCATAGCCACGTTCAACCGATTTCTTTCCTGTGTATGTTTCCTTCGCCTCTAGTTCTCGTTCCTTTCTCTGGCAGTGAGTGGGCCCTTTTACTGCCGCCATAGCCCATTACGGTTCCTACGCTGCTGCGACACGCGAGAGATTATTACACTCACCTCCAGCCCCGATTTTGTACGCGCGTGCAAGCCTCCCTTTCCATTTTTACCGTTGGGGAGTGGGGTGCACTCAGCGTGGGGATTGTACCCTCTCTCATGTGCGAGTTGCGCTGCAAAAGTGCATCCAGAATCTGATAACGAACGCGGGATTGATTCTGTTATGCTGGAAGGTGGCGCGGATTTCGTCACGGCGCACGATCGACGCATTGCTTCTTCCCAATCGGGCCGCGGCAGCAGCCGCGGCGGTGACGCTCCAGAACTTGCTCGCCCGGCAGCCAGCTCCGCACCACCACCGGAATCTTGTGCGTCGCAATTTTATAACGTGAATTAACAGAGTTTTACATTTATCTAAATAATAGTACTATTATTTTTCATAAAAAAAACTTGTGTAAATATGCATATTATTTATTTATTTTAATTTTAATTTTAAATGTATACATATTTAGGGGAATATTAAATAGACCCATGTTTTTTCTAAATCAATCCACCCATTCTAACCATCATGAAAAAAATAATGATTTCTAATTTCATTTCTCCAATATTAGATCTATAACCAATAAAAACTGACCACATTCATCAGGATTAACATATTCTTCATTAAGAGTGGATCTATTTAGTAAAAGCATGGGTCTATTTAACATTCCTCTATATTTATATTTATATGTTACTAGTGGAAACACATGTAAGGCTCACAATAGTTATTTATAGATAATAAACTGGAGGTTATGCAAGGTTTTGTGTTGGTGGTCATAACAACAATTTCTTTGATTTTGACCAATGCAAATGTTTCTTTATGTCTTTGTTTTATATCTAAGCTTTCTTAATATATAGATGTCTTTGATTATGCACCTATTTGTGATAACATTGTCTTATTTGTATTTATTTTATTTTACTTTATTTTTCTTCTTGTGGCATGTGTATCATTACACTAGTTGTTTACGTGTATATATGTATTTTATGTATTAGGATAGTATTATTCTCTTTTGTTGACCAAACTTGTTGTTTAATCTTTTTATCAGAAAATATAAGTTGTTGATGGGTTGTGGGAATAATAAGTACATATTGCATTATTATGTCATCAACAAAACAATTTGTCAAGTGTTATTTGATTTTTCATCCAAATTGCTTGAAAAATATTCAATCAGTTCTGAAATATACAATTTCATTCCTCCACTTTTCTTTGTTGTAATCTTCAATTTTTCTAAAATCAAAGATTTTCAATTTATGAACAGATAGCTATTAATCTAATTTTGATCCTTATTTACAATGAGCATCTCAACCAAAAAAAGAAAACAAAAAAAACTATAACCACACTCTTTTGGCACTTTTTATTACATTGTTTGCAAATCTCTATTATTTTTTGTTTGATCGATAATAAAATGGTGTATTCTCTCTACATACTTTTTTTTTTTAATATTTTTTAAATCCTTCAAAATTTTGATTACGATGATAAAATTTTAGGACGATAAATAATTATCAGAAATACACATAGAAGACAATTGACCTTAAGATATTTTAAAATATTATCATCTTTTTAGTTTTTTTTTATTAAAAAAGTTGAATCTTCACTATAAATCAGTAAAAAAATTTGATAAATAAAATTTGAATGTAATAAATATAGAAAAAACAAAAAACCAAACCCAAAAAGTCATATAACTTTATTTGACATCCCTTACTATGATGCATACATACATACATACATACATACATACATTTATTGTTTTTTGTATATGCAGTTTTTAATTATTTTGCAGATGTATGTGTTTTCTTTAGATTATTTGGATTAACAACTGTGTTGTATTATTGCAATATGCACATTGAATATGTTCCTGGAAACCAACTTGTGCTAATCATTAATACCTTATTACCTTAATTATATATATAATATATGGCCTAGTAGACATATTTTAAAGATTTCCACAATCAAAAATAGTTTGATTCACTTGTAAGTTAATTCTTCCTATGTGAATCATGCATCCATTTAGTGGTAATAATATTGATTAAATGTCTTGTGACTTGACCACATTTATAGAAAATGTAATTATAAAAAAATATCATTATTTTTATTCTTATTTTTCTTTATAATAAAGGAATTTATTGTCCAATATGAAAAACAAAAGAAACCAAATTCCTCCCACCTACCCCTTGTAATGCTCAACCATAATAACTTTGCAAAATACAAACTCTAATATAGACATTTAAAATTACATGTTGGAATAACAAAAGAGTGACATTAGACAAACCAATCAAAATCAATAACAGACAAGTGATTACAATCTTTAAACAAAACACAAGACTCCTTTGGGCAATAATTCTTTGCTGTTTGTAGCAACTATTCAACTTAATGAAGAATGTAATTTGCATAAATTTTGATCATGACAAATCTCCTTAAGCCGCACTATTATATCATTTATAAGATACTCTACATCAAATTGAGTCTTCAAAGTTCACTTTGTTATTATAGAATTACATAGATGCTATGATATTGATTCTTAATTCTAATATAATTACCATAGTATATTCTCAAGTTAAGAAAAAATCCTAATCAATCCTAAAAATACCTTAAAAAATTTGTAAAAGAAACTTCAAAAAATCTTGCTAAACTCTTAGCCAATTCCAAAGAAATCATAAGTAAATCCTTATTGAATCTTAATTATCTAATAATTAAATATTAATTAATTATTTTAAAAATTAAATAAATAAATAAATATTATAAATAATAAAATTTTAACTAAATCTTAAATAAATTCTAAAAAACATTAATAAAATCTTAAGTAATCTTTGTAGTAGATTTAAAACTTCAATAATTTTTACTTTATTTGTTGATTTAAATTCAAAAAAAAATCACTTCTCAATTTACTATTTAAAAAAACCATAAAAAATTTGAAGTCAACTAAACTTATAGATTGAGAGAAAAAACTCCTAACCTTTTTAGTCCTCCTTCTCCAACCTTGGTATCAATCTTTCAGCAACAATAAAACTTTTAAAAACTATTTACTTGTTTTAAAAAATTTCCTAAATGTTGAAAACTAATTAAGCCATTAGCATAAATAATAATAATAATAATCTAATTGAAAAAAAAAATAGTAACTCTCAATGACCTTCAAAAATAAATTTTCAAGACTTTATTTCTCTTCAATTTTAATTTTGTTTGATTTGATCTTCTAATGTAATTTAATACTACAACATTCATCCAACATAACTAAATTTATATATTTACAAATTTTTACTTATAGATATGGTACAAAATTCATACAATTCATCAGAATGTAATCTCTTTTTTATTGTAGAAAAATACAAAGTTACCAAAAATAATCCTAATTATGCAAAGCTCTTATAATGTCATTATTTATTCAATTCTATTTTAAATAAATGCTTTAGAAAACCCTTTTTAGTTTGTTTATAAATCCTACTTTCTAATTAGTAAAAGAAGATCCTATCTATCATAGGCATACAATCTTGTGACTTAAGATTTGGTTTCAATCTTGATTCACAACCAGTTCTTATTAAGTACTAATCTAAGGTTTTATATGTAACTTTTGCTAAAAGCTAGTCTTTACTTTTATCTAAAGATGCCTATAATATTATTTTTTTAACCTATTTTTTAACAAAAAATAACATTAGTACTAAATATTTTTTACTAACTTCCTAATAATTGTCTATGTTTCTAAAGTAATTTGCTACTATATTTTTAGTAAGCTATTCTATAGTATATATATATATATATATATATATTTTTCTTTCATTCATTAGTCATGTTATAATATAACATTGATTGTAAACTAAACCTCAATACACAAGTTTGCATACTCAAAATAAATGTAAATATTTTTTCTTGATTGTGAAACGAGTTAGGTAGTAAACTTGATAAGATTTTTGTAAGTGTGGTTTTAAAAAAATTTGAGTAGATGATAAATTTGTAAGAGCCTTACAAAGTTTGTATTGTTAAAGATGATTATTTTTTTGTAACACAATAAAGGGTTACATTTTGATGAATTATGTGAATTTTATAGCAGAATGATAAGTAAAAATTTGTAGATTTGTAAACATAAATGTACTAAATGTATGTTTTAAAATGAGATTAATTAGATAGTTAGGTTAAAGGTTTTTGAAATACAAATGAGGTAGCATCTTAAAAATTAGATTTTGAAGGCTAATGAAGAGTTCTATATTTTAAAGTAATTTGCTCATTGAATTAAAATGATTTTTTTTGCAAGCTAATAGTTGACTTAATTTTAAAAGTTTATGCAAAGTTTTAGAGTAAGTGAACCATTTATGTATGAGCAATTAATGCTGGAATATTGATATAAAGATTGGAAAAATATGATTGCCAAGACTTGAGAGGATTACAAGATTTTTCTCCCAATTTATAAATTTGGGTTACTTCAAATTTTGTGCACTTGTTATAAACAAATATGAAACTTTTGAATCAAGATCAAAATGTTGAATTGATACTTATTGAAGTTTCAAATCAATTATAAAGCTTGATTTGGATAAATTAGGATTAATTAGAATTTGATTAGGATCTAATTAGAATTTACATAGAATATCTCTAAGATTTCATTAGATTTTACTAAAATTTGATTAGAATTTATTGGGATTTACTTAATAATTAATTAGCATTTATTAAAATTTTCTTAAAGATTTTTTTGAGGTTAATTAGAACTTGATTAAAGATATTGAAAGGATTTTTTTTAAGGATTCCTTATATTGTTTTAGTATTTTTTAGAAGATTTATCTAACATTGGTTATAATTTATCTATAATTTATTTTTATTGATTGTGAATTCTTTAGGATTTAATTATGGTCATTAAAGATTGAATAAGGTTTATTTGGAATTGAATAGAGAGTGACAAGATGTTCCTAGGATTTATCTTAGGTTGATTTCTACTACCAAATATTGAGTGCATTTGCAAGCTGTTTTTCACACAATACAACATTACTACAAGTTAAAATGTTTAAATTTATTACAATTTTTTTATTTATAGAAATATCTAAAAATTTAAAATTACTCAAAAAAATACTAATAATATTAAAAAAATCCATACAATTTTTCTAATATTTTTGGATGTCTTAAAATAAATATTAGGTATTTTTTGACCATTTTGGTAATAAAGTGCAATATCTATCCATTGTAATTTGCAAGGACAAAAAATCCATAATAGTTAAATTTTACATTTGCCTTTTTCAAAGAAAATATTTACAATTTGCATCAAATTTTTAATGGGTAAGAGCAAATCAAAATATAATGATCATTTATTAGGATATTAAAAATATTATCTTATTGTATTTTCCAAATCCAAAAACCACAACTTGATAGCAATTTTATGTACAATCATCTTATCCAAAAGAACATGCTCAAGAATATAATATAAACTAACTTGACATAGTTGTGATGAAGGCCTTAAAAGATTGTAAAATAATCCTTGATAAATAAAGTTAGTCTAACTTCTTAGCCACTAAACATCTTTTTTAGAGGCAAGGCTAATAAACACTCTTTCACGAATCTTCATCCTATACTCATATATAAAATAAGACCACAAGATGCCATATCTATAATATTCTTAGAATAGGGAGGTCTCATTATAGTTATCCGTTTATTGAACTCGCCCACCTCTTGTTTTCTTGTAAATAGTAATCCTCGACAATCTCATACACAAGCACCAAAGCATTTCCGACTTGGGAGAAGGACTCAGCATCTTGGGCAAACCAAGGGTGGGTTCGGAGGAGCTCGGCCAGCTTCGGGGACGTCCAAAGTTTGAGGCTCTCTGATCACATCCCGACATCACATGGGCACCTTATTGGCTGATCGAAAACACAATGCATTGTTCGTTTTCGTGGCAAAAATTGTGTTGAGCAAATCTCTAAGTTTGTTCTGCAAAACTTTCATCTTTGGGGATGGGGGAGGACTTAACGTATAACTCTGTCATCTCAACATTGCCGAATAATCCAAGTGCATTGAAATTGGTGTTGAACACCCATGTAAGCCTGAGAATGACAAGCTCTTTTCAGGCTTGAATAATTGCAGAGTTGGAGAACCCATTATTGTGAACGGTGCCCAGTGCTTAACGGGGTGGTTATGGCGAATCATGAAGAGCACCACTGTCCGCATACATTCGCTCACACTCCTGCCCTCCGACTCGACACTGAGCAACTCTTTGAACAGTTCTGCACAATGCACAAGATGGTGAGAACTTTAACATAAACATCATAGAAGTCGTAAACTTGGCTAGTTGTACAATTAGATGGTAATTAGACGCTTAGTAATATCATACTGTTTCTAAGCATTTGCTGCAGACGACAAGCAACGACTTGGCTTTCATCATCATAATGATCACACTAAAAAGCAGGAGAGACAACACTTCAAAAACTCAAGATGTCCCCTAAATTTTGTTAAAACGGTTGCATCAAGCACTGGCTTATTATTTACTGTCGTATTATTTGAGGCTGGAACATTTATAACCAAAGAATTTCCACTGGAATGTTTGACTGATCATGACATGAATGGATACTTACTGGTTACAAAATCACAAGTGAACGTATCATTCACTTTCCACAGAGTGAGGATTGCAGTTACTCCTCCCGCTTGAAGAAGAGCCCTTCCCAATCCCAACAGGCCCTCCCCGGAAGTTGATTCGCCCAAACCTGACTCACAGGCACTCAACACTACCAGTCCAGCAGAAATGTCTCCTTCCAAACCGGTTATCTCCCCAGCGGTGAGGATTTGGGGCGTTTCTTCAACCCTCTTTTGTTTGGAATATTCACCTAGGACAGCTTGCTTGGTCATATCTGTCCCAACACACGGCTTGATTCTGAAAAGTCTTGCCACGTCCTTGGCTTCCTTCTCAGCACCAGGTAGCTGGTTACATCCAAGTCCCATTGGCATGGGATTGCCGGCCATGAAAGCTACCTTCCTCGGGAACTGGCCATCAAATTCATGGGCTTGGTCCAGGCCATGGGAAGATTCAGGTTCAAGTGAAGGTACCTGAAGCAGAGGACTCAAAAACTCCAAACTTGATAAAAACTGCCTTGGGCACTCCAATCGTCTGCAAGGTGGCAAGTCTCAATTTGCACACCCAAAATGTATTCGTCAAAGACACCGCAGAATCTGATTCAGCTCGCACCCTGCACCTCAGCTGCAGCTGTTCAACTTTGAACCTTACAAAATTAAATGTAACCAAGAGATTACCAAAAAGCAATCTCTGCGGGCTCCAGAATACTTAGAAGCCTCTAAAGCGCAGCGGCCATCAATCCCAAAATTGCAACTCAAAAACCCACTGTAGCACAACATGGTACCATCTCCCTTTGTAAATCGGTGAAAAGTCCTCGCCAACAACACATCTTGTACACACAACATAGGTCTCGACCAGCACCTGACTGCGCTCCTGAATTGTGAGCGATTAGCGAGCGGAGCAGGAACCCATATCCTCATGTACAACTGCGTCACAGTTGGTAGACTAGGTATACCTCTCTCGTGTCTCTTTTGAACAGTCCAGGCGGGAAAGAGAGTCAATTTTTGTAGTCAATACTTCACTCTTCGAATGTTTCAGACGTGCTGCGTTAAGTTACCTAACTAAAATGTCGCTCAGGATCACGACAGTCTGAAATTGAAGTACTTGACACAGGATATTGGCTAGCGTGGATTGATTTTGGAAGAATGCTGGGTACTATGGTTTGAGGCCGTTTATTTGAGGCTGTCGTGGTCCTGTGCACATCTTGTGGGTGCGTCAAACCGCTCTGTAGTTGAATTTGATATCTGAATTGAGAAAGACGGGTATTGAAACATTTGTGAATTCAAGGGTATGTAGTAGTCGGTTGGGAGTTTTATATATGCGGATGGACAAGTCAAGTGCGAGAAGTTTTAGGTCGAATTACTAGTTTCACTTGGGCAGTTTCAAGCCTTTGTGGAGAAACTACCGATGCATACCTATAATTGGCAGTGGTTTCCAATCATACCAACCCGAGCACATCTGACGAGGAGTTGTAGAGTTCATCTGTATGCTTAGGGCATGGCTGGCTCGAGATAAACTCTCTCTCATGCCTGGTGAACCTCTTGCGCAGGGACCGTAAATTGTGATACAGAATGTGCATATAGAATTAGGGGCAGATAGATAATGAGCATTCCTCGACTTTTTTTATGAAACTCAATGAAAGTCCGAGTGTGACACCCCCTACGTGTGGCATTTCAAAGTGCAGCAGAGCAGGAATACCATTGGTCAGAATAGCCCATTCCTGTAAGTCGGAAACAACTCACGATCTACCTCTGTAGGTGGATTATGAGCAGTCCCCAAGTTTGGGGAATTTGAGGAATTGAGAGGATGGGTTAATGTGACACCCCTGTTGAATTGCACTCTCGAGACAACACTGGATGCAATATCCAATTTTACTAGTGTAGCATGCAATATTCTTTCAGAGATTTAATCTTCACCTACTATGTTGTTGGGTTTTGCACCCTAAGCTGTGGGGTTTTCACCGTTTTGCATAGTTTGCAGCCCAAGTATCAAGCTTGGTCTCAGCAAGCATGACATATTTTTAAGTCATAGCAGAGGGCAGAAGGATTTTGTAGAGCAACTCTGTGTGGATCTTGAAGCTCAAGGTTATTCTCCATTCTTTGATGGAAGACTCAACAGTTTGCCTAAAGGGAAGGAATTTGCGCCTCTGATTTTAAAGGCAGCCCAACATTGTCATGTTGCTGTTATAGTGTTGTCTCAAGATTACTTAATTTCTAAGTGGCCAATGATAGAGTTGTCGGAGTGTCATGCTGCTGAACAAGCAGGAAACCAAGCGTTGAACTTGCTCCCACTGTTCTTCAAGTCATCAGTTCACGATCTTGATGATCAGGCTATCAAGGAGCGGTGGATGTCTACATGGAAAGAATATGAGAGCGAGGACAAACGAATTGATGTGGCAAAATGGTGTGAGGCTGTGAGAGCGTTGCGAAAGGTGAATGGCATTGTGAATGGCATTGTGTTTGGCAAGCATTCAACGACGGAGGTGGCTTACAGAAAGGAGATAGTGCAAAGCATTTGTATCCTGTTGCCTCCAGACTTGGTTGATCATGCCAGTTCTAAGAATGTGGTTGTTTATGACCGAACGTATCCGGTAAGTGAGAAAAGGTTAAGCGTCATGTTTTGATCTGACTTTGTGTATTATCTTTTGCATCATCAAATCTGGAATATAGGACTAACACAAATTTACTAAATGTTGTTGATCGTTTGAAGTCCAGTGAATTGCTTTGTCACTTAGGTATCAAAGATTGCTGACAGACAAGTGAAGTTAATGTAGAATTTGCAGCAAGATAGATCATACATTGCATTGTGGATTTTAAGACTTCAGTGGAGATATAGACTCGGTTGTTTCATTTGGCAGCCTGGCGTTGAGATATTGAGAGAGGACCCGTTGGCCTCCAAACTGAAGAGTCTCTCCATGAAGACTAGACGCGACAAGAAGTGCAAAGTGAAGGTTGAGATTGCTGAATTGACTGGGAGTCGTTGTGGGCCTTGCACCTGCCATTGGACATGGCATTCGAACCAGACCTGGATGGTCGAGGCAATATTGTCGTAGGTGGTTATGAGGTGAACAATGACACCAGCGTCCGGCTTACGATTGAAGTGACATGGCAAGATACTTCTCTGTAATATCTGTGGATGAATCGATGAAATGCTCCAAACCAGAGCTCATTTACCCTCTAGTGATGCTGGACGACGGCGAAGCAGAGAACTGTTTCTCGCGCAGGCAAGTCTCTTACAATTATATACAGCTTCGGAAGCAATCTAATGACAAATCTAGTGCAAATTTTGCCTTATTGATCTGACTAACACCTGGCTACATTCATACTTGGTCATTGCAGGAGTGGGGCAAGGGTTTTTCCTTGTAAACAACAATATGATGAGGATCCAGTAGGCTCCAGCAGATGCCTGCGAACCAGTGTTCTTGTATTTGGTTGTCGTTAGCAGCTGCCTAACTCCAGGTACGTTTCAAGCTGACAACTTGATCAAGTTCATTATATTTGTAAAATTTCGGTTACACCATTATTTGCTTGAGTTGAAGTCAACATCTACATATTTGATGCACTTTGTGGATTTTTATGCAAAGGAGAATGCACTAATCCATAGGTTCATACATATTCATTTGCAGATCACAAACCAGATCAGGAGATAACAATTGAGGATGTAAGCAAATTTTTGAATGCCACGGAGGAGCCTAGCTGAACTTCATCATTGTCAAACAATATCAGTTTGACATACGACCTATGACACAGAGGTAACAGTGGTGACAAATCATGTGAAGTAAGGACTATTGCAAGACTTTGAAGCTGGTATTGGAACTTATATGTAGGGTTTATATTAATCGTTAAGTGTAGTAGTGAGTAATAAACATTGTTATTGTGTTCTGTGTGTTAACACATGTGGTTATGCTTTCGAGGAAGGTGCACCTAAACGGGTTGCACCTCTTTGATAGGGTGTGACTTTGGACGTTTATCATAATTTGTTTATTTGACAGGATGTGACTTTTGATGTTAAACATAATTTGTTTATTTGATGTATGAATTCTAATACGCCCGGTTAATCAAATTGATGAACAGGTCGGGTTCTCTTCCAAGAACGGCAATCAGTGGTAAGTGAGTGGCGAGCTTTGGACGTGATCACAATTTTGTAGAAATATCAGCCTGAATTGCATTAGTGGATCAATATTTGAATCAATTTTATTGAATTTCAGCAAGTTGTTGTAAAAATGATAACAAACTGCATTGTGTTATTGAAGCGAATAAAATTTGGTTGTATCCACAAGGGCAACGGTTGATAGGTTGTCACAAAGAATTAGGGTTGCCTGATTTTTGTTTGTTTCTTGATGTAGATTGTAAAGAAGATGGCGCAGCCAGATTGCCTCGGAGGTGGAGGTAGCTATGGCCATGTATTTCACTGTTGTGTTGGAAAGTGGCATAGTCCTTTGGTGCGTTGAACACCAGCTGATGGCGTTTTTAGAGAGAGTGAATATATAGTTAGTGGTAGAGTGTCATTCGTCCATTTCAGTCTATTTGGCCTCCTTCTAACGAAAAAGAGAACAGAGTGTAGATGTCGATTAGCGACATTTCAGTACATAGGTCATGGTTCCATTGTCATGTTACAGATCATGTTATATTTTAATATGTAGATCATGGCCATTAGATAAAAGAGCAAAAGAAAGATTATATTATAAAGGAGTTTAAATGAATATATTTTAGGAAATTATTGTAAAAATATAAATAATAGACAAGGAGGTAGTAAAAATTAATAAGTGCTAATACTGCATTTTTGTGAAAAAGACTTCTATTTATTTTGGAGAGTCATAAATGAGATAAATTAAAATAGATAAAAAATTAGTATAGATATCTTTAAAAATAAATTGAGAGTATTTATAGAAAAAATTAATTTAAGTAATCAAGAATTGATACTTAGAAAGGACTAGTTATAAATAAGGTCAAAATCATACTCCAACACACAAAATTGTCTACCTATGGCAATTTTAAAGTACTTAAGTTGATTGAAGAGTGGGATTTGATAGCTGACTTATGAAAGCTTTTTTGGACATTGATTTTGAGTGATTTGAATTTGTATTGATTTTGTAAAGGCTTTGCAAAGTTAAAGTTGTTTTAGAATTACTTTGGATTTTGGAAATTATAAAGAACTTATCCTTTTAAGAATTATTTAAGATTTATTAATGATATATAAGTAAAATTTTGGAATTGTGTATTTGATGTTGTTTTTAATCTATGTCATGAGTTTTAGCTTAATCTAACAATTTATTTAAAATTTATTGGAATTCAAACACAATATCTTGTATTTAATAAGTTCAATCTTCTTTACATTTTTTGTGCTCGTTGTCATCTTCATAATTAATAAGTATAAAAATTTTGAGTTAAAATTTATAATTAAATTATTAGTTATTAAGATTATAATCTATTATAGAATTAGTTAAGAGTTTATTAAAGATTTAAGATTCAAATAAGATTTCATTCTAATTTGGTTTAAGATTTAAGATTTAAAATTTTAATTAAAATTTTATTAGAGTTCAATTAAGATTTTTTTCATAGTTTAGAATTTAAAGTTTTGATTATGATTTGATTTATGATTTAAGATTTAATTAGAATTTATTTTGAGATTTAATTAAGATTTATTTTAACATTTAGGTTTAAAGATTTGAATGGGATTTGATTTAAGATTTAGAATTTAATTAGGGTTTGATTTAGGAATTAGGATTTGATTAAAATTTGATTAAGATATGATTTAAAATTTAAGATTTGATTAATATTTAGTTAAGATTTGGTATCAAGGATATACATGTTTATTCCAATAATTACTTGTATAATTAGGTAGAAATAACTGAAAGTAGATTAATTTCATAATATCTTCTAAAAAAGCTTCCTAGATGTGGATTTAAGTTTAGAAGTTATTATACTATAATTGTTTAAAGTATGTAAAAATTAACTAAAATATATAATATATTTACAAGTATTGATATGTATTAGAGTAGTTAATAGATTAATTTAAGAGAGTTAATATAAGAAAATTTATTTTGAGATTTATCTATTTTGATTACATTTTTTAAATTACATCGGATTTAGATATTTAGTATAAAATTTAAGAAGAATATTGGAGTTCAAAGATGAAGATTCAAACCTCTAAAAAACTTATTTGGAGGAATAAAAGAAAGATATGGATAGATGAAGGCAAAAAGTAAAGTTCTTCATCTCCATTGATCAAAAGCCATGCCTAATAGGCTCTTAGGAGGCTATCAATGAGGTAACCTATATGAGAGTTTCATATATTCATGAGGCTATCATAGATGTCATTCTTAATAATTTTAGAAATATAAGTCAACGATTGGTAGTAGAATCTATCGACAAAAATAACTTACTCTTTACAATGATAAAGAGTAGATCTAAGGAAAACTTTGTTAATCTAGGACAAATATCTTCACTAGTAGGTCAACAATGGATAAGAGGAAAAATACCAACATGAGTATTACCAGGTAATAGAGCTTTAGCATGGTGCAGTCCATACGATAGTTTATTACAAGGACAAGGATTTGTTAACAATTCATATTCACAAGGACTTAATCCTATCAAATACTTCTTCTATTGTCAAGGGGTAGAAAAAGACTAGTTAATACTCGTGTGAATACTTTTGATGCTGGATATATACAAAGATGTATGTCAAAGTCTATGTAAGATGTAACAACACAATACAATGGCACTGTAAGAGACGGTATAGACATTGTACAATTTTATTATGGAAGAGATAATTTGGACAACAATAATATGTAATTTTTTTTTTAATATTTGCCACTTAATATTATATTTGGAGCATTCAAACACTGTAGGCATTCCTTCATTAGCTGATCTCTTCTAAACATTAATAGATATTATCTTTTTGCTTTTACATTTAAGACAATGCTCTACACCTTCTTTTACAAGAATTGTTGATTTCTTCGAATCTATATTGAAGAAGATGGTGTTATTGATGTCCTCGTAACGTTTGATACTTGATACTTTAATGCCTCTATTGATCATACATTCAACATTAAATTCATACCACTTAATCATGTTCTTGTCACTACCTTCTAGATGGAAGGGGTTCATTGTTTCCATGGCAGATGAACTGGATGAGATAGTAACTATCTTGAAGAGAGAAATGGATAATGAAATTATAATATTTCATCGGATGTGTTGGCATTCTCTATAAGGCACTTCGATATTGGTTCAGAGATGGCAAGGACTATTGAAAGGATACTATGTGGTATTGAAGTTTGTAATATGAACATAATGCTTCTTATTGCTGCAGTTGTTGTATTAGTAAAGTGTGGAGAAAGAATAGACACACGATTTTCTATGCTTTGTAATGATGTTATTAGTGACATTGTTGATACTGATCCAAACATATGTGGTTCTAAGTTTTATCATAGGACTACAATCAAAAAGAACATCCTTAAATATTCTAGATTTATATTATCTAAATAACATGATTTCAATCATAAAAAAAAATAATATGAGATAGAGGATATATAGTTAGTGATAGTACCGTTGAATCTGATGAAAGGATGGATCCATATACAGGACGAGAGAATGATCTTGTGGTACTAATAGCAAGAAACTTCATAGATAAGAATCCCTTTGGAGCAAATACAACTGTTCTCACAAAGAAAGATATATCAAACTTTATGCTTGAATATTATAAATCTATACAAGAGGACATCATAGAGTTTGCTACCATAATAATAATGCCATCAAACACTCTTGATGCTTCTATATTTGAAGGTGATATATCTATGTATGGTATAACGATGTTCATCAAAGAGGAGCTTATGTTCAATCCTACACATAATGTACTTGTTCTAAAGCACTGTATTTCTTCAAGTTCAGAACTACAAGAAATGGAAGAAAAGGGGATATCTCATGATAGCTTGCCAAAGATATATGCTGGAAATTGAATATGTAAGTGGTATGGATTTAGAAAAGGTGATGCAATAAGAATAGAAAGAGATTATTGCAACGAAGTTTATTATAGGATATTAATATAAAAAAGTAAAAAATATTGATATTGAAAGATATTTTTTGCACTAGTTTTATTTTTTTATGTCTATCAAGAGACATGGATTCCTATATGATAAGGGAAGTAACCTTAGTCTAGCGCATTAGCAACACAGATGGAAACACACTTTTTGATACTATATGTGTGTCCGAAGATGTTCCTCTTGTTGAATGATATATTGGTGACTATCAATGGTACAAACAATTTCATCCTACTATAGAAGTCGATAACATATTAAAAAGTAACAATGTACTTCTTATTACGTTTATAATTCCAATTCTTAAATATGATAATAATAAAATACCTTTAAAAGCATACTTTGACTTTAGCTGAGGTATAATGAAGATGAGACATGTATCATCATATGTTGTTTCTATTGTTGAACTTTTTAGTATGATTAGTACTACTATTTGATATACAACAAGATGTTGAAGTCACAAACATAGAATTGCTTGCTAACATAACAAGAACAAAGCCAGATTTAGAGCTACTATGTGATGTTGTAATGAACGAGCCTAGATTATGAGAAATCTTTTTATTAAGAGAAAAGACTATCCCAATATCTATAAAGGTCAAGTATTCTCTATATGCTAAGCTTGGAATAGTAACATTCAAAAGAGGAGAAAACAAAACCATCACAGTATGAAATGTCAAGCATGAGGAGCATATGGATGACATTATAGATCAGATCTTATTCTTACTTAAGGTCTACAATGAAGTAAAAGATGAATTTAACAAGCTATAAAATTTTATATTTGAAGAAGAAAAGATATCTAAACATCATACGTGGACATTTACTTTAAAAGAGGAAATTCCAGAGTTGTTTGTATCTGGATATCCAAGAGAATATTCCAATAAACCAATAATAATTACAGAATTAGAAGAGGAGAAGTATAAGTCTGAAGGAAGATCAACTATGAGATATCCCAAGGATGGTCCATACTCATGAATATATACTTACGATGTAGGATTATTTCCAAGACTTGAAAAGAACACATTTCCTAATAAAGATATATTCGAGTTCCTTCTCTGTTGTTATACTACAGATCATCCTAAGAGACCAAAGTCTAACTATTATAAATATATGCATGACATATTTGATGCAAAGAGAAATCATAAGAAGATAATGCAATTTAAGCCATTGCATCTCTTAAAAAATGGTGTAGTTGATAAGACTCCAAAAGAGCTTCAGGAGATAATGTGTTCTACGGATCTAGTAAGGATAGGTATCAAAAGAAATAAGTCTTCTATACTATACTATATGCCATATTATATTCCAAGGAAGAGCCTAAGCTTTCGTCCTCATATATGTCTTTACGAGCTGTGGTATTTGACAGAGGAAGAAATACTTCTCAATGCTTGAGATAGAGATATATTTTTTGATCCAACACTTTATTATAGAGTATTAGAACACATCTTTTCAATAAATATATACGTCCTTGATGTATTTGATGATATAAGTATAAGAATGTCCATACCGTACACTAAAAGATCATATATTTGAGAATATAAGTATGATCAATCTATCATTTTTTTTGTGCTGTAGAAATATTTCTCCATATCCTCAATGCGAGTAAGTAAAAGGTCATTGGAATGATGCATTGAAGCAATTCAAGATGCAAATAACTATCTGTAAGGATGCATTAAAACCTAAGCAATACACAAAGCAAAAGATAAATAAAGATAAAAAATGCATATTTGTATTAACTAAAAG